AAAGTCTATTAACTGGTAGAATTCAGACATCTGGTAGAAGTATGAAGTCGGGTAGAGGTGGAGCGCCATGTACAAGACCGACGAAAGTCCGTCGACGGGCAAAAGTTTGATGACGGTTAGTAGTTTGAGGGCAAGTAGAAGCCCGTAGTCGGGTAGAAGTACGGCCTTGGGAAGAAGACCGATGAATGCTCGTCGACGAGCAGAAGTCTGACGACGAGTAGAAGTCCGCTGATGAGCAGAAGTCCGACGACAGGGAGAATTCCGACGTCGTGTAGAAGTACGGCCTCGGGCAGAAGACCGATGAATGTTTGTTGACGAGCAGAAGTCTGATGACGAGTAGAAGTCCGACGACAGGGAGAAGTCCGACGTCGTGTAGAAGTACAGCCTCATGCAGAAGACCAATGAAAGCTCATCGATGGGCAGAAGTATGACGACGAGTAGAAGTCTGCTGACGAGCAGAAGTTCGACGATAAGGAGAAGTCCGACATCGTGTAGAAGTACGGCCTCAGGCAGAAGACCGATGAAAGTTCATCGACGGGCAGAAGTCCGACGACAAGTAAAAGTCCGCTAACGAGTAGAAGTTCGATGACAAGGAGAAGTCCGACGTCGTGTAGAAGTACGCCCTCGGGCAGAAGATCGATGAAAGTTCATCGACGGGCAGAAGTCCGACGACGAGTAGAAGTCCGCTGAAGAGCAGAAGTTCGACGATAGGGAGAAGTCCGACGTCGTATAGAAGTACGACCTCGGGCAGAAGACCGATGAAAGTTTGTCGACGGGCAGAAGTCTGACGACGAGTAGAAGTCCGCCGACGAGCAGAAGTTCGTCGACAAGGAGAAGTCTGACGTCGTGTAGAAGTACGGCCTCGGGCAGAAGACCGATGAAAGTTCGTCGACGGGTAGAAGTCCGACGATGAGTAGAAGTCCGCCGATAGGGAGAAGTCCGATGTCGTGTAGAAGTACGTCCTCGGGTAGAAGACCGATGAAAGTTCGTCGACGGGCAGAAGTCCGACGACGAGTAGAAGTCCGCTGACGAGCAGAGGTCCGACGACAGGGAGAAGTCTGACGTCGTGTAGTAGTACTGTCAGGCAGAAGATCGACGAAAGTCCATCGACTAACAGAAGTCCGATAAAGGGTATTTGTCCGACGACAAGAAGAATTCTGGCGTCGGGTATTAGTCCGTCGAAAGTTCTGCAAGGAAAAAGTTCAGTGACAGGAGGAAATTTAGAATCGTGTAGAAATTTAACTTTATGCAGAAGTCCATTAACGACATTCTGGTGACGTTAACCAAGGATGTATAATCTATCTGATGTTGTTTGTCAGAGCCTTTGCTCGATGATGTTAACCGATATTGGATCTGGCAATGATGTAAGACCTATCCGAGGTTGTATGTCGGAGACTTTGCTCGACGACATTAACATGTGTGGAAAAGGTCGGGAGAATCCACCAAGGATGTAGGACCTTTCCAAGGTTGTATGTTGGAGTCTTTGCTCGACGACGTTAACCTGTGTGGAAGAGGTCGGGAGAATCCACCAAGAATTTAGGACCTTTTCGAGGTTGTATGTCGGAGCCTTTGCTCGACGACGTTAACCTGTGTGGAAGAGGTCGGGAGAATCCACCAAGGATGTGAGACCTATCCTTTGTGGAAGAGGTCAAATCAAATCCCCCTGGGATTGATTTTGCTTTGATTGGGAGGGGGGCGAACGCCGCGTATTTCCCAAATCAAAGGTGAATAATGGTCTATCTTTAGACTGTTACTGCCTTTTTGAGGTTGAGATCAAGACCTTGCCCAAGGAGTATGAGTCCTACAGGGGACTGTATGAAGGTTACTATTGATAGGAAGTATCCTTGCATTTGCTGAGATTTTCCTGAAATATCTTATTGATATAGAAAGCATCGGTGGATCTTTTTGACCAGAATTGGGGTCGAAGTTGCCCCCCAGTCCGCATCTGATGCGACAATGACTGATGTCAGGAAGTTGATAAGAGCAATCTTTTGAAATTGGAGAAAAAGTTGCCCCCCAGTCTGGAACCACGTTCCCACAGACGGCGCCAAACTGTTGCGTCCTAGAATATTCGCGGCGGTAAAGAAATATATGGTTTAACGTCTTAGCATTGTACGAAGATCCAGCACACAAACAGATAAGAGAGTGGGTGGAACATTCATAAGAGACACCAGAGTTTTTACGTGGAAATTCCCTGATGGGGAAAAACCATGGGGCCTGGCCCAGTTTGAATGAATCCACTAGTATTTGTAGTCGTTACAAATTAGGCTCTTCCTTGGGAGAAGGCCTTGGATTGATGTAGAAAATGTACATCATACAGATTGCATTACATAGTAGGAATTACATATACATGTTTGTTTGGTCGGAAGGATCGTAGTCGGCAGGAGACCGGGGTGGTCAGAAAGACCATTGTCTGTTGATGGAGGTCGGAAGGACCATAGTAGACGATGAAGTCCTGAAGGACCGTAGTCGGTAGGAGACTGGGGTCTGAAAGACCGTTGTCTGGTGATGGAGGTCGGATGGACCGTAGTAGGCGACGAAGGCCTGAAGGACTGTAGTCGGTAGGAGACTGGGGAATGAAAGATCATTGTCTGGTGATGGAGGTCGGATGGACCGTAGTAGGCGATGAAGGCCTGAAGAACCGTTGTAGTAGGGCGGTACTTTGGTAGAACTCTGGACGTCAAGTAGCGGCCCAGCAGAAGTCCAGGCCTTAGGTGGTGTTCCGACAAAGCAACGGCGTCAGGTGGTAGTCTAGTGGAGGAGAAGACCTTTGGCGAAGATGAGGGCCTCTGGCGAAGGTGAGGGCCTCAGGTGAAGGTGAAGGCCTCAGGTGTTGGTGAGGGCCTTTGACGAATGTGAAGGCCTCATGTGATGGTGAGGGCCTTTGATGAAGACGTCAGGCCTAAAAGTCGGGGCCTTGAGCAGAATGTTGGGCCTGAATGTCAGGCCTTCAGTAGCACGTCGGGCTTGAACGTCGGACCTTGAGATGGTGGTGCGGCGAAACTCCGGCGAGGGTCCGGCGAGGCTCCAATGGTGATCCGGAGGCTCCGGCGGTGATCCGGCGAGGCTCCGGTGGTGGTCCGGCGAGGCTCCGCGCGGTGTCCTGGCGAGGCTCCTGCGGTGGTCCGGCGGTGGTCTAGGAGGAGCTTCTTCCTTCTCCTCTTCCTTCTCTTCTTGCTTGGGCCCCTATTGTGAAAAATGAGGGCTCTATTTATAGATTTTCTGGAGTGGCATGGCTTGTAAATAAGCGTGAGATCAAGGGCGAATAGGGAGTGATCGAATGGACGGCTGATGCTGAATCCTATGATCGTGTACTGTTCGTTGAACATTTGAAGGCCTTAATGATGTCGGAATTCAGCGATCTTTAGTTCGTTGGATTCTTCTCGTCGAGCCGTTCGATTTGAGTATAAGCTCGTCAAAATCGGAGACCGTTTGGTAATTCAAATTGCTGTTTTAACCTCCCAACAGCACTTTGAGCCCTTGATTTGGACTCATTTGGGCTCGGATTGGGTTGAACTTGATATCGTTGGGTTCGTATTTTTGAGACGCTCAGTTCGACTGTAAGCTTGCTGAAATCGGAGTTCGGGTGCTCCCAAAATTAATTTTTGAAGTTTCCGAACTGATTTTGCCTCGAGATTCGTGCCCGATCAAGATAGTTTTTGCATGACGTATCAAGAATATTCTAGTTCCTCCCAAATTCTCAAACTCGAGAGCCTAGCATCACAGCGGCAACTCTCAGTGCTGTAGTGTTTCCTTAAATTCCCATCCCAAATAGAGAGGATAATATCGCAGCGTCACCTTTTCCAGCACCGCAATGCTCTATAGTGCACTTGGCTACTTAAAATTTTCTCTTTTCCATTTTAATTCTTGACTTATTTAGGTTTAATTAAGCACTATAAGACTCATAACATATAACTAAATCAAGACTAAGCGAAATTTCACTCTAAGTGAAGCTAATTACCTAAGTCCTAGAACAACAGGTGTTATACAATGCCACCTCCAAAGTTCAAAATACCCAACTTATAGTCCTACTAGAGGAGAACCGGCCTAGCTGACCATGCCACTTACTTCAAGTACATGGCATCAATGCTTGACATCGACGATACCTTGAAGTATCGGGTATTCTTCATTATATTCAAAAAGTTGACCTTTCAATAGTTTAGTTGTCTTTCATTAGCCATAATCACCTCATTCGTCAAATTTAAGAGAATATTCATCACTTAGTTTGCTAGTGATGAGAAGAAATCTATGCAAGTCATGAGTGATTCAGATAAGGAAGCAAAATAGGGAGATTTTGACCATCAAATTGCGAGATAAAATAATATACTTATTGGAGGATGTGAACTCTGATATCATATGGAATCTATGGAATAATATTTTGCAAATGTTGAAAATGGTGAAAATAGAATCGAATCCATTCAAGCGCTCAAAGAATTGTATGCATAATTATTTGTTAATAATGGAAAGTGATTTTATAGGGAAAATAAGAAAATATATCATTAATTGTAATATATGCCATTAATCACATAACTAAATTGTAATTGCATTAATATGAATAATAATCTTAAATCTCAAGTAATTTTTTTTTCTTCATAAGCATGAACATTACTCTAAACAGTGCATTGCTAGAAATAAAAAGTCAAATAATTCTAAATATTTAAATTAAATTTTAACTAAAAGTATTTCAAAACTATTTCATTTATTCCAAAATCAATATATCATAAAGTTTAATAATTTTTTTTTATATTTTTTTTTTATTTTAGAACGGGAGTATCTACTTACTGCCACCTTCATAGGATACGCATGACGGCATAACTAATCTTTCGATGAAACCTAACGAAGCCAACCCACAGACGCCTAAACCATTCTTTGCTACTCCCCTCAAAAGAATTGAGCCGCTTGACGGAACCTAGTGAAGCCAAACCCCTCAAAAGAAGCGAGACGCTCGAGAGAATTCGAATATGGGTCGGGATTCCAACCATTCTCGACACCAACCAAGCTGTCCGGTGGATTTATATAACCGCTTTAAAGGAACTTTCAAATGCACCCCAACCAAGCTTAGTGCTGGCCAACCCAGCAGACGTACCCATTTCCTCCGAGCACCAGAAGCAGGCGGATAGAAATGGCGACGGAGATCAAGCAGCACTCAGAGACCGACTTCACTGTGCTTTTCAACTATACCGACTACATCAAAACGACTTTGACGTGCTCCGGCGACGAAGTCGATTCCTGGATATCCGACATTCTCCGAATCCACCGCCGCCGCCTCTCTCGCCTAATCGTCGGCATCGATCTCGAGTGGCGCCCTTCCTACTCTCGATACCAGAACCCCATTGCCTTACTCCAGGTCTGCGTCGGCCGCCGTTGCCTCATCTTCAAACTTCTCTTCGCCGACTATATTCCCACATCGCTCGCCGAATTTCTTGCAGACTTGCGATTCACCTTCGTTGGAGTCGGAGTCAAGGCCGACGCTGACCGTCTAGCGAACGATAAGGGTTTGTACGTCTCCAACGCAGTCGATCTAAGAGATCTCGCTAACGAGATGATGGGACGGAATGACATGAAGCAGAAGGGACTCGCCGGACTGGCGAGGGAGCTTATGGGCGTTTTTCTGAATAAGCCGAAGTATGTGACGATGAGCCAGTGGGATCAATTTTATCTTTCGATGGACCAGATCATGTATGCGTGCGTTGATGCTTTCGTCTCCTTCGAGATCGGCCGGAGGCTCTACGACGGCGATTTCTGATAAATTGGTTTTGAAATAATAGTCAGGGTTAATGGTTTACCTCTATCAGAAATTTAAATAGTGTCGAAGTTCTTGTTTTCCCCTTTCAAGACTGTTTGATCGAAGGCCAGGTTTGATCCGGATTCTGATGTTCGTATGATTGTCAATGACTAGTAAGGTTTTCTGATAACTTTACCTTTTCTTCTTTAGCCATTTTAGTCACTTTAGCTTCCTCTTTGCGACATGCAATGCAATCATCAACTTGAGCAAATATTTGATCGTCTTTGTTTATGAGTTCTTCCGTTGTGATTTTTTTTATATATCTTTGCATGGACTAAAAATTGTTAACAAGTCAGTCCAATGAGCCGCATGTTCTACACAGCATAACGTGATCCCAAGACCTCAGCTACTGCTCCACTCACCCTGCAGGCGCAGTCTGCCAGAAACAAACTCTGCCATTCTCTAACTACTTGTCTGCTGTATTATTATATAAACTCTTACATTCTGTATTACTGTACCTGAGGAACAAATATGAAAATACCCATTTTTTGGGGAGATTTGGGGCATTTCCCATGTATTAAAGGGGGAAAAAGTAATACAACTTATAAACAAAAAAGCCTGTAAAAAGAGAAAAGAAGAAAGCCCAAACGGCAATCCAAAACAAAAACTCAAATTGCCAAACAAAAAGGTAAAGATGAGAAGAGAACCCAAAAAACCGGACTCAGTACAGTGGCTGACCAACCCAAAAACATCAGGATTCAGTGATCATCGAAGCAGCAGTGAGAGGTAGAGCCAGCAAAAGATCTCAGGTTGCCACAGGACCAGCCGAAAGGAAAATGGATAGCGCGAGGACCTCCATGGGAGCATCTGAGCTGAGGACCGCACAGCGAAACCTTCCAGAAAAACAGAGTGGTGGTTGCCATTAGGCCATCCAAACAGCAAGATGGCAAGGGAAGGGCCACCCTCATCATAGTCCGGACACCCAAAAACCCAAAAACATCAGAAAAATCCAAAAAATCGATCTTGAATCTGATCAAAATGTTTCCAGCCTTTAATTTTGTATCTGATAGCATTCTTGATAGTGAAAGTAATGATGTGAGGACTTTCCCAAGTATTAGAGAATTTCCAATTGTTCTTTTCCCTCCAAATATGATAGATAGAGCAGCAAACAATCAGGAAATAATTTTTTTTTTCTCCAAAGCATTCAAATGTAATGAATTCTCTAGAAAATCAAACACTTGCAGCAGGTTTGGTCTGAACAAGATTGAGTCCAAAGATGGAAGAAGGGAGGAGATCACCAGAAACGGAAAATCATATTCAAAGAAGAGGTGATTGTGTGTTTCAAGAGCACTAAAGCAAAAACAACACTCCAGCTGAGTAGCAATAAACCTCTGGATAAGTAAGTCAGACGTTTTAAGCCTCCCAAGAACAACCATATAGGCGTAAACAGAGAACCGTTAGGAGTGCTGTTTATGCCAAATAAATTTGAGCCAAGGCATCTGCTTAAAATGAGAATAAAAGTGAGAAGTAAAGGTCTTAAAAACAGGGAAATTGGAGCTGTCCCAGGAGACAGCTGGTTGCTCCAAGATAGGGATCGAATAGACCATCATCACACAAATATGATCTGGAAACGAAGTGAGGAGAGCCCACTGATTGCCAACCTAACCAGATGCAAAGAGCAGGGGGGGTGAAAAAATCTCCAAGAGGCTTGCCATTACACCAAGGATCCCAAAACATAGAATAGTTGCAAAGAGGTCCAACAGCAAAGTAGATTTTATCCAAAATCTTGCTAGCAATGAAGCAAATATGTTTCCAAAATTTGGTGGCAAAAAATGGCGCCTTCCTAAAGGGAGAAGTTTATTTAGCTCTAAGCCAAGAGCACATAATGGAATCATGACATTAGAGATGCCAAATATATGAGCAAGCAACCCCATGATACAGAGAATCAAAGGATGGAATTCCAAGCCCACCGAGGTACTTGGGAAGGGTAGTAGAGTTCCAAGCTATCAAGTGCATATCTCCTTAACATTCCAATGATACAAGAACCTAGAGCACAATTTAGATATAGCATTGCAGATAGCTTTAGGTATAATGGAACCTCTAATCCAGTAAGCCAAAGTGTTGACAATGGAGAATTTCAGAAATTGAACCCTACCTGCAAAAGAGAGAAATTTGACTTTCCAACCTTGAAGTAGAACAGTAATCTTGCTCAGGAGAGGTTGAAGTGAGTAAATTTAACATTTTTATGAGAAATGGGAAGGCCCAAGTAGAGAAGGCAAGTTTCCACTTGAAAAATAGTAAGAATGCTATAGATATCAGCTAGCAAATGTTGAGGGACATTTTTAGAGAATAGAATAGAGCTTTTGGTGGGATTAATGTGATCAAGACCCGAGGCATTGCCAAATTGAGAAAGAGCAGCATTTAACGAGGTAGTATTAGGGGTAGAAGCCACCCCAAAAACTAATAAATCATCATCATAAAGCAGATGGTTGAGATTGAGCTCATTGTATTCAATACCTTTGAACTGATTGGAGGGAGAGCAGGAATTCAAGCTGCAGGAGAGAGACTCCATCACGATACAGAATAGTAAAGGAGATATAGGGCATCCCTGAATGAGGCCAGAGGAAGAGTTGAAGAAGCCCTCAAGAGAGCCATTAAGCCATATAGAAAAATGAACATTCGAGATATAACCTTTGATCCACCTGATAAATAAATCAAGAAAGCCTTTCTGTCTCAATCTATTCAATAAGAAAACTTGGGAAACTGAATAAAAAGCCTTCTTGATGTCAAGCTTAGCACATAAAAGTTTTTTGGAAGAGTTAAATTTCTTAAACACCTCAGAGGCCAATATAATATTTATCTAACAAACATTTTTGGTGAATAAAACTCGCTTGATTATTATCGATGATATGAGGTAAAACAGATTTAAGCTTTAAAGCCAACAATTTTGTAACAATTTTATAGAAAACATTACATAGGGAAATGGGCCTAAAATTAGAAGTACACGAGGCATGAGAACCCTTTGTACTTCAGTGAAATATGTTTTTTCTGCTATCTTCGACTACCTTATTACCTTTTGCAGGATTCTTCACTTGGTATTAGAGCTCTTCACTTCACTGCTTCTCATTTCAGATTCCAATGGCAGAAAATGACTCATCCTCATCAACCCGCACCTACCTCCTCATCAGCTTCCATGGAAGACTTCACTGCACCTCCTCCTCTAAAATTTCTTATGTTCAAACTCAAACTCATTGTCAACGTCCAGCTCATCAATGAAAATTATGCAATATGGTATCTCCATATTTACAAACTATTCTCTGCCAATGGATTTGAGGGCTATCTTACCGGACAAAAAGTTTGCCCGTTGGAACCACGCCCTAGATCCACCAATAAGATCATCGTATGTGAGGTATGATTGATCAAAACTTAGTCTCAGCTCTCTTTTCTACTATTTCCCCATTCGTTTTGCCTTACATTCTGCATCTCTCCACCGTTCATGATATTTTGGTAAGTTTGGAAACCCGCCTTCAACCAACCAATCGATCACGAGTCATTCAATTAAAGAACGAACTTCATCACATTCAAATGCTCGACCAAACCATTACTCAATATCTCGTGCAAATCAAGTCTCTGACTGACTACATTGTGGCAGTCGGATCCCACATTGATACCAAGGACATCATCCTCTATATTCTTAATGGACTGTCCTCCTCCTACAGCTCCTTTAAAGTATCCATCTACACATCGCTCCACCCCATCAGCCTTGAGGTTCTCTACTCACTCATGTGTAGTGAAGAAATCAACATTCAAAATGAACTGCAAAAAGACACAAAACCTCCTATCGAACATCAGGCATTGTACACCTCACGCAGTAGCTCGTCCAGAGGAAAAACTTTCCCCTTCAACCCTTCTAAATCAACCCGTGGCAGAGGAGCTCCCCTCAAACTATTATTCTCCTCCAGTCGGCCTCCATCAGCACCCAGCTTCAACCCACAACGATCAACGTGTCAAATATGTGGAAAACTAAGCCATTTTGCTCTATCCTGTTGGCATAGATGCACCCTTCAATATGCTCCGCTTCCCTCCTAGAACATGTGTGCTCTACTGTCTCAACAACAGGTACCTCCTACCACTGAATGGGTACTTGACTCTGGTGCTTCTACGCACCTCACATCTGAAGCACACAACCTGCAGCAACCAATTCTTTATCAAGGAGTTGAATCAATCTCTAGTGCCAACGACACCTCATTACCCATTCAACACAGTGGTCAAGGTATTCTACCTCTACCAGCCTCTACCCGTAAGCTCTGTCTTCACAATCTTCTCTATGTTCCCTCTCTTTCACACAATCTTCTTTCTATCTCTAAACTTACCTCCGATAATAACTGTTCTTTTTTCTTTGATGTGGGCGGGTTCATCATCAAGGATCTCATGGACAATCAAATTCTACTTCTTGGCCGTAGAGATAACGATCTTTATCAGTTTGCACTACCACAGTACCCACAGCCACTGCGTTTCACTCCAAGTTCGCTTCAACCTCTCTCTAGCACACGCGTCTTAGAGATCCCCACCATCATGTGCTGACTATCTTATCTAAGTTTATTCCTTCTCTAGGTAGTACTTCATCATCTTTTCTATGCAATTCCTGTAAAGTGGCTAAAAGTCACTAAGTTAGCTTTTCCTTAGTGTTCTAATCATGTAACTTAACCCTTCAACTTAATACACTCTGATGTTTGGGGTCCAGCCCCTATTTTGTCTTTAAATGGTTAAAGATACTATATCATCTTCATTGATGATAGCTCTTCTTTATGTTGGTTATTTTTAATGCATACTAAAAATGAAGCTCTACCTAAATTCCAACAATTCACACAAATGGTCAAAAATAATTTCAATACCTAAATCAAAACTATCCAGTCTGATGGCGGCGGAGAATTCACCAGTAACAATTTCAAAATTTTCCTTAATAACCAATGACACCACCCATCAATTAAGTTGTCCCTACACTCCAAAGCAAAACGGGTTTTTTTTTTTTTTTTAAGGTTAAACCCACGGAAGGGCCTACGCGTTGATTAAAGTCAAAATTACAAGTCCTTAAGGAGATTTTCAGCCCGCTAATGCTCAAAGAGCTACAAACACTCAAAAAGAAATAAAAACCTAAGGGCCGAAGATCCCCATCTACGCCAAAAACATTAAGACCTAGAAACATTCTAAAGCGGCACAAAAAGGGTGCCCAAAAATGAGAAAGCTCAAAATAGATCCAATCAGCCCAAGCTTTCAAGCCAAAAACTCCCTCAAGGTGGAAGCAAACCTGCAAAAAAATCACAAAGAACACTAAAGGAAAAATAACAGTAGAAACAAAAAACTTACCAGTTATCATCAACTCCAACCCAGTCTTCATCAACAGACCAATCCACTGAATAGTAGACCCACTAGGAAAACGAAACACTGGCAACAAGCAAACTAAAATGCAGCCCCACCCAACAGTGCAATTCCAACACCACCCCAGAAAGTTAAACAAAGCAGAAACAACCATAAGAGCATAAATGGGAGAAGAAAT